TATCGAGCGAGTGCTGCTATCCTCCCAGGCAAATCTGGTACCAATTTACCGACCCCAGACGGATGGAAGGCTTGGTGGGCCATGGGCGCGAGGATCGATTCCGCGTGTGCGTCGCAGTGGCGCCTCCAATCACTGCGCCACACGCGCCTGTATTAACTGTAGAATGTTCAATCCTTGCTTGAAATGAAACACTTTGACCAAGATCAGGCTTACTATACAGAAGTAATAAAAAATTCGTCCTCAAAATTTTAACTCACTGTGGTAGTATTGTCGTGAAAAATCGAGAATTCCCAGCCATCTTCTCCCTCTACGAATCCTTGCTCAGCAGTATCGAGACCGTTTAAGACATACATAATATTATGAAGCCGACATTTCTATACGCATTTTCTGAATATTTAATTCCTCAGCAGCAAGGCCAATAGGCGATGGCGTTGATCATACGTGAGACTCTTTGACAGGTGGAGAACTCTCGATTTCAGTTTGAAAGTTTCCAACGCTATAGTTGCGATTGTTTTAGTTTTCTTTTTTATGCGTAAGCTTTCAGACAAATGTGTCATAAACATACCAATGAAATGGTTTTCGGAAATATTGATTTCTTTTCTTTCAACCATTTTGGGAAAAGTTCAGATTTTGAATCTACTCGTTATTGAGAATTCCTCTCATTCAGCTCTGTGATGCTATAGTACAGAATTCTTATAAAGTTTATTCTTATAAAGTTGAATTTGGACTATTTAGTGCCACCCTCAAGCGACTCACCTCTTTCTGAGTTTGCTGTGTTGCGGGCACCGTCATCGGTTGAACATTGCCGAGGTTTGAGCTGATAACGTTTGTATTCTATGGAACCTATCCCTCACGTGGAGGGATTTGAGGCTATCAAACTCAAAGTTGTGTCTGCTTTCCCGCGTCGAAGACAGGGACCAAATACGAGACCATGTACTTTCTTTAAGGCATAAGTAGATTCGGTGAATGGTCTCCTACTTCTGGTTCACTGAAATAACTAACACTAAACCATATACATGCGTAGCATGTGGTTGTGCTCATATGTATGCTGATTGCCTATGTCACGTTATTTTTTTTGAAAAAAAATGCTCAATCAAGTGACTGGTAAGGATAAAAGGGGTGGTTGGTCCACGTGTGGTCCAAGATAGCTCGTTTATGCCATCTCACAACGGCAGAGCAAGACAGGTTGCTGTCGGTGCTTTCCTTTCAAATGAATAAAAAAGAGAATGCATGTGAAAAGTGTGATGCAGTTTGGGACTTTCTATCAAATATAAAACTTCTACTGGTTTACGTGACTGTGGGAATTGAGAAGGAAGTCGTCGGTGACAGCATTGAAGAGGTGTGGTGCTTTTAAGTAATTGATGTTATTTTAAGCACTACCACAACCTATTTCAGAGTAGAAATTTTAGGGACAATGAAGACGATGCAACTTTCGATGGGAAACGGCAACGCTTTCGAGGACACCGAAATGGATAATTTGTCGACGGGCTCTGGTTCGGTTTTTACATTTGGGCAATAATTTCCGTTTTTCCAGACACATTACGTCACCGTAGCATTCACAGTGTCTTTAATCTTCTTTGTCTGATTATAATATGGAAGCAGTTACATGAAATTATTATTTGGAACAACAGAGGAAAAGATTGAATGTGTACGGAACACTGTGGATAGAAGCGGATCTCGTGGAGTCGTTTTAAAGTCTGATGTAGTCTTTGGCAAATACGTTTTCTTGTCTGGGAATCCACACAAGGCGTTATCAACGTGAATTCATTGACAAACCCGTTTCGAAGTATTCTTCAATCCACTAATCGTGACATGTTGTGCTACCTCTACGACTCACAGCCGGCTTGTTCGCCACGTTTAGTTAGAAGAGCAGAGGTGGGGTGATAAAATTTCGAAGATCACTCCGACTTATACACGATGGAGCGGTTTTCCTCATTTCTTCGTGATTTTGTAGCATTTTTGCGCCCTTCAATAACCACCGTATTCCCAGCCAAGACCTGATCATTTGTTTACTTTTTTTGTTATTTCTATAAGCCTTTTCGCTGCTGAGGAATTTGGTAGAGTTTTTCCCCTGTATTCGAAATATTGGTGAAAATGCTATGATACAATGGTCCACTTTTTGGTTTGCAGACTCTCGAAATATTTCACTGGTATTGGTTAACTTTTTAACCGGTTGACATTCCTGGTAACCACGCTAGAAGAGCTTTGTGGTGCGCAGTACTTTTCGATAGTCCATGTCTTATGCTATGAATACCTTGTAACGAAGTCCACTGTTAATAAATTCTCTCAGTTACAACAATATGAACTTATTGATTAGATAATGGATTATGGTAAAAATTTTCACCAAATTTCTGCAAGAGCTTAAATTTACCTATAATTCAACCATAATCACAAAAATATTGGCAATTCTGAGTTTGGTTGATACGGTGTGGAAGTAATTTGGTGTTGTCAGTGTTGAAAACAACGGTATTCAAGAAAAGGTAGTTGTCTTTTTCTTCTTGTTTAAGTTTTGGAGTTTCCATCATTTTATCCCACAATCTCCAATACTATAACCCACACTGCTCTATTGGTGCATCTCGAAGTGTTGAGTAGTTTTAGACCATATTAGACTGGTCTGTTTTTAGGCATATTGAGTTGCAGCTTTTGTGCACACGTGGTCGTAATCATAAGTACACGTGTGGATGTGATCAAACCCTTGGTGATTCTATCCTACACATTTTTGGACTGTTTTTTTCTCAATCAGGTGACTTGGAGGTGTTACATGAGTAGCGATTCTGGGTTTCATTCAACAAAAGGGGTGGGTTATAGTGAACATTGAGTCACGTGCAGTCTGTCTTCCTTTTATAGCACAGTTCTGTGCTTTGCTTTAATAGCTAATTTTTTCTATGCAACTTATTCTTGAACATTCTATCAATAGGTGGACAAAAATTTTCAATACTTCCGTTTTGGAATTCCATATCATTGTTCTGTCTTTCTATGAACGCCATTAAAGCTTTAGTATTTGTGGCATTTGATTCACTTTGTAATCGAGGACAAGTTAAGTTGTTGGTATGGCCTTCGTTACGTTCCTGCTCTCACATTTCAATCTTAACGCAGAGTAGAATAAGACAACAAAGCGGATATTGATTTGTTTTGTGCTTATGACAAGATTTTAAACACACCGTTCTCTAAGCAGCATTGAGTTATCATAACTTTCATCTACGATGCAGGTCATTTTCACGATTTCCTTCGTCTGTCCTAAATTTGTTTCTTAATGCTGAGTTGTATAATTTTTCACGGCTGGCTGTTATTGCGAAATCAACCGCAATGATGCTGAGATATTTGCAAAAACTTCGCGGACCGCAGGTGTCTGCGGTGGGAACGAGCGCGCTATTACCCTTTCCAGGACCTAACTCGTTCACCACCACACGATACGGATCCTTCGTCTCGTCTGTCTTTGAGCTAGTTCTTTCGATCACTACCATCAGCAATCATCCATCAATGGAATTGATTTCCTATCTAAATTCTTGTGTCCTATCTAAATTCAATGGCAGTACAGTGGTACAAAAGCAAATTTAAGCGTTTTTCTTTTCAAATGAAATGCGTAATAATATGATATCATCGTACTTGTTTTTAATAACAAGGAATCTGTGCTGATTCTCAGTTGTGGTTTCTTCATAGAAATTATGTATCATCAAACAAGCTTGCAATTCTGTCTACTGCTTTAAAAATTCATTACTAGGATTATACATTAATATGGTGTGAACATTAATTGGCATGGGAATTTTGTTCTTCCCAAGTATTCTCCATCTATCCGATGTGAGTATTACGATCAATTCAGCGCATGGTCGGGTTCATGTCGGCGAGTTGCAGCACGCACGCAATAGTAGTTGTCTAACTTCTCATTTTGTGTGACATTTTTAACAGCGCATTGTACCTCATGTTATACCGTTCATCAAACTAAAGTAAAACGTATGGTCTTGAGAGAATTAACTTCTTCTTTCTCATTCCTTTAAATTTTGCTCTCTGGATGCGCAGTACGAACTCATAACTATTTCTTATTTACGTGTTTTAACACAGTTTGGAGAGTTTTTTGTGCCTGGAACCGTAGAATGGTCTTCCGAGTGGTGACTTCGCTGATTTTCGACGCTTTCAGAATAACACTGGATCGCCAGAATGCAAAACTTTTCAGGATTCTCCTACAGCAGTTGGGCATTCATTGATCTTCATCGTTCTCCTTCCACTTAAATTCAACAGAGCATTTCCAGTTTGACATGACGGGTAGCTCGTATTGTGTCTGAGGGAAGCCTGGTGATGTCGTCGTTAGTACTAGTCACGTTTTTAAATCCACTATCTGGTCGTCGTTGGACGTTTAAAGGCTTAGTTCTTTACTAAAATTGATAGAATGCCGTGAAACAGACCCATCTTTGTCTCACTGCTAGCAAATTTTACAAGGAGCTCTTGCGATTAATTTTGCCTATCCGTTCGAATCCCTTCAACGTTTACCATGGGAGCTACTCTGCCCGTTTGATGTTTGAGTGGAATATCAACAGTAAAAAGTGCCGGCCATATCATCTATACGGTAGTTTAAGTCCTCCATTGAAGCAAAAGAAGTGGCGAAAAAGTAGTGTAGAATTGTTTAATGAAGTTAGGAACATAACGTGTTATCATTATAAAGGCGAGAATTGACATAAAGTTACAGATCTCGAATATGGTCCCGGAATTGTCGAAAAGTTGAAGGCAAAGTTCCATCGACTATCTGCGATCGTGAATCGCAATGCGAAAGTAGGAAGTTTCATATTCACATCAACAAATACGTCTTCACTTTAGTGGCGAATAGAATGAATAAATAAAGTGAACTGAGCACTGGTATGGGTTGACCTTCAATTCAACATCCTAGTCAATCCTTAGTGAGAAATTATTTGTGTCCAGCGCTCATGTTTACGACCTATTTTTCAACGCCAGGTTTTTCGCGTAGTTTGGAAATGCTAGAAATTTTTTAAAATTTATCAGCTGCTGTTATGAATAACACTGATCGATGGTTTCTAATGACTGCTTTTTATGTTTCCCAACATGCAACCGGTAAGCGATGCCAGTCTGTGGATGATATTACACCAGCCGCAGAGGAAGAATTACAGTAAGTAAACTTCGTTATAGACGTTCTACGAGCAATTGATATGTGAAAATTCACTTATACTTGTGATAATATTCGAAATTTTCTCTTAAACTTGAAAATGTTCCGTTTGCACTCCCTTCAGTGTAACTACTTTTTAAACACTTCATAACCTAGTGTTTATATGCATAGTAGTGTGTCTAGGAAATTCTTACCATTTCTCCTTAGCAAGTACAAATATACAAAGATCTGAAATTTATTCGCCATCTTTAATTTTAGAAATAAGTGAAATCGGTGAAGCATACTAACAAGTATTCATGGTTATTCTATTAGTCAACAAAAACTGTATGAAAAGGTTGAAGGTGTGGAGTAGCTTTACCTTTAAGTAGCTATAGTGATTACACTGCTGTTTCCACAGACCCCGACGCAATTTTGTCGGGAAATGAGTTCTGATTTGGATGACTCTCAAAATAACAGTGTAACAGAGAGCGTAAAATGTGCGAGAAATCTAAGAAATATTCGCACGTTTTCGAACTTGCACTCCCAAATGGAATCGTAATTTAATGTGGAAATCTATCACCGAACGTAGCTTCGTCATTAATCATAAAAATGATAGCGGAAGTTGTTGAATGAAAGGACCTGCGTCACCCGTCGTCCAGTTGATCATCGAGTGACTCGAGCGGGAGCCAGTAAACTTTTTATTTTTCCCTGTCGCACGCAAAAGGAGTCCAATGAGTTTTACTCACCCTGGGGACTTGTTGAACACCATATCCTTCGCTTACTGTTTTCGTGAAAACCTATTACAATCCGGTCGGTGGTCTTCCTCCAGTATGCTTGACGTCACGAGGACTCCATTTACTAACGGTCCTTATCCATCGGTCGTTGTTCATACCTATTAGGTCTCCGGCTCACGTTATCTTCGACAATTTGGCATATGGAACGGCGTCTTCAATTTTTGAGCACTGATGTAGATCAGAGCTTCGGATCCCTTCCCTCACTTGCATGATATGGGAGATCTTTTGCACCGTTCTTTCGACTGCGCAGTCGATAACATTGAGTGATATTTCATCCTGCTTACTTATTGAGCAGGTTTCTGATCCATACGTTAAGACAGAAAGAATTATGGTGTCGTAAAGGTAAGCATGGAAAAATTGCAAAACTCTGGACCGCAGGTGTCTATGGTGGGGAACGAACGCGCTATTGTCCTTTCCGGGGAGTAACGCGTTCACCACCACACCATGCGGGTCCTTTGTTTCGCACGTCTCTCAGCTATTTCTATCGATCTTTTTGCCACAGCAATCACCCGTCAGCGGGGTTGATCTGGGGAGCGCAAATCGGCATAGAACCCAGTTAAGCTATGGCTGTAGTTGAAATCACAATGTTTAACGTATTGTTTTCTGCCTTCTATAATTTTCATGGCAGGTTACTAAGTAAGCGAAATACAACCACAACGTTGCTGAGATATATAGATAGAGATATAGATAATATCTCAGCAACGTTGTGGTTGTATTTCGCTTACTTAGTAACCTGCCATGAAAATTATAGAAGGCAGAAAACAAAACGTTAAACATGGAAAAATTGTTCTTCGTTCCCTTTACTACACCCGCGATGATCTTGAAAACTCCCTAAGCCGCTCGCCTCCTCCTACTCAACTCTAGAGCTAAGTCCGCCTACTCCTCTGCTGTCGTACGTTCCGAGGAACAGTTCTTCCTCGGTGACATAGACAGCGTTCGGATTCACGCACGCATGCATGAATACATCTTCGCATACGACGAAGGTATGTGCCAAATCTGCACAGCAGAGACATGGAGTCGACCTCCGTCTCCGTCTGCCTACCAGGAACGTGTAAGGTCACCCTTGGTCAGCAATGAACCACTTATCTGCCACCTTGGGACGCGTCACATTGCCTCACAGCTAACCGGCATAAGGTCTATCTGTGTGGGGGATCCGTAGGTCGACTGACATATAAACAATGTGACGTTGTATATTACTTTACGAAAAGCGAAAACTCTGTATCTTTTAGGAATGGTCGAATAGGGAAAAATGGGTATTCGTCCGCAAATTTTTCGCCACTTTCAAGGAAACATTCTCAGTCAACGGGAGATATGCTAGGTAAGGTGGACGTTGAAAACTCGATAACTGTTTTGGTCGCAGTCCTTGTCATTGAAGAAGCTTCTGTGCAGATCGACTTTTGTTTATAATTTATCATTCAGTCTTCTGGAAAGTGATACTGAACTTTAACTGCGATATCAAATTTTCTTCGAACTAGCTGTGACACTGAAGCTTTTTCACGCTTTCAAAAAGTCCCTTATCTCGTCTAATAATGCAAGCTGTCGTTGTTGTTGAAAAGAGACAATGAAACAGCAGTGTAATGTTTTATTTTAGTGTTTATAGAAAATCAATCAGCTACTGTATTGTTCTTGACGAACATAGAGAAGATAAGAAAGTAGCTCTCATTTAGTACCGTATCCATTTTTAGTTTAGTTTCATTAATTGAAGACCTCTTGTATTATAACAGCGTGTGGGGCGCAGTGGCCGGAGATGCCCTGCAGCATACACGCGGAATCGATCCCCGCGCCCATGACCAACCATGCCTTCCATCCCTTCGGGGTTCTCAAGTAGGTACCAGACTTGTCTGGGAGGATAGCAGCACTGGCTCGATACATCGGTAGGCCACCGCGAGTCATTTTAAAGGCCAGACATTCATTTAATCACCTCCAACGATACTTAATAAAAGTCGAATACATGGCACAACCCTCAGAGATTTATCAACGCCGAGAACTTTATCCTTTATCATTCATTATTATCAATATCATTATTGTCATTATTATTATCATTGTTATTGTCATTATTATTATTATTAATATTTAAAAATAAAAAAAATAAAAATCACCCGTTCTTCGTTGTTTGATTTGCTGACGTGCTATAATCTTGAAAGAAACTGTGTTTTTCTGCTTCATATAATGCGACGTCAGTAATGAATGATGTGGAGCTTGCTTTGTAGTTAAACCTATTTCAAATAAGGAACCTTAATCTCAAAGGTCATATCCGTACTAAATATAATTGTTTTCAGAAGATGAACGATGTTTGTTTACCGTTCATCGAACGGTGGAGATAGGAGAAAGCGGTCATCCTGAAGTTAGTGAAATAATCTCTTTTCTACTACCATGAATTTATATCTTTCTGGAGTCCATAACTAATTTTTTGCACATGCTTTAGGCATGTGTGACAGAAGCTCTAATAGTAACATTTGCCTATTCCTTAAGAAGTTAAAATGAAGCACAGCGTTATAGATACATCTTATACACTCTTAGAGTGGTGGTGAGAATTCTGTTAGGCTTTTCAATTGGTCTAGTTTTCGAGAATTTGTCAGATATCATCGGAAAACAAACAGCTTTAGGAATGTGTTAAATAATGTGTATAATATGTTTCATGGAGTTTTTCACAATCGAGAGGAAGGAAAGCGTTCGGAAATATATTAATTGGCACGTTTACTCAGCTTCATGTTTAACTCTTTAGGTACGGATTCGTCATTCTGCTACTAAGCTCCTTGATAACAACAACGATGACGAGCCCGAATTCATAAAGGTTGGACGGCGACTTCGTCATAACTCGCCTTATTTAGAGAAACTGGGCTATCACCACGAAAATGTACATGATGTGCCACAAGATGTGCCGGCAATTCCGAAAAATGACCCTCAAAAAGGTGATTTGTAATCTCCCAATATTTTTTGTATGATTCTTATATACGATTGCGATCATTGAGAAATCAGGCGGCCTGGTTGTCAATGGGGATTTTTGGTCCTTTTTTATCTTCACAGTTAAAGTGCTGGCGGAATTATTACTATTATTATTATTATTATTATTGTTATTAATATTACTATTATTACTATGTTTAACGTTTTTGTTTTTCGCCTTCTATAATTTTCATGGCAGGTTACTAAGCGAAATACAACCACAACGTTGCTGAGATATTTGCAAAACTCTGGACCGCTGGTGTCTATGGTGGGGAACGAACGCGCTATTATCCTTTCCGGGGAGTAATGAAAATTATAGAAGGCAGAAAACAAAACGTTAAACATTGTGATTTCAACTACAGCCATAGCTTAACTGGGTTCTATGCCGATTTGCGCTCCCCAGATCAACCCCGCTGACGGGTGATTGCTGTGGCAAAAAGATCGATAGAAATAGCTGAGAGACGTGCGAAACAAAGGACCCGCATGGTGTGGTGGTGAACGCGTTACTCCCC